TTTAAGACATACCTTCTGCAATATATTTTTCAATTATTCAAAAAGTGGTAGGGACAATATTGACCCTGGCAAAAAGTGGTGGGGACATGTCCCACCCGTCCCACCCGCAAATTACGCCGTGTATGTGCGTAAGCATTCTCATTCATCTCAAAGGCAGTTGCTTGACTGACGCATGCAGCCCTTGAAGTACAGGACATAACCTGCTTTCTGCCATCTTTGTTTCTTGGGTATTTTAATTATTCACCTGAGCCATAAATGGCATGTGAATGATCATATTATATTAGAATTCTTTGCACCAGACACTGAAAAAAGTCTGGCAAGTCTGTTAAGAGCTGTAACTACTACTATAAAATATTACTACTACTAATATTTTATAATATTTTAAATATAATAATTTAAATAAATATTTTTTTATATTGTTTACATTTAAAATGAGATTAAAATATGTAAAATAGATGTAAAATAAGTCTAGATGAAATAATACATCTAAAAATGTAATTTATTCCTGTTCATTTCTTAAGCTGAATTTTCAGAAGCCACAAACAAACAAATGAATAAATATAAGTATAAATTTTTTACCAAATCTTACTGACACCAAACTTTTGAATGGTAGTGTATACAGTATATAAACTGAAATTAAATTGAAATATGTTGAATATAAATTGAAACTTATAGACATACGGAGGTACGGACAGACAGACAAACAGATGACCAGACAAACGGACGGAAGGACAGACAGACGGTCAGACAGATCAACTGTGGACCAGGATGAAAGAACATCATTTATCAGAATGCAGTACATGTGTTATTTTCATTATTCTTTGAAATATTTTTCTTTTCAATTCCTCTTCCTGTCATTTAAATTCCAATTCAGCTTACTCTAGGGTTCACAAATTCACAATGAATCGAAAGGGAGCCAGTTCTGTCCTGAATTTCGCTCTGCCACCCATCCGTTGCTATGCTTTCAGTCAGCATGGTTGAGTGAACACTGCTCAAGTGCCAAACAGAGCCTTGGGTGTTCGTAACACCCTAATTAAAGTGAATGAGGCAAGGACCCCTACTCCACCACATTATCACACACACACACACACACACACTCACACGACAAATCAACTGTATGATCTTGCATCAGGCTGTCAACAATGCTTCTGCCTGTCAAACTGCATTAAGCACTGGATACCAAAGCAAATGTCTGCTTGCATATGCCACACATAATAGTTTAGAGGCCACATCACACGTCATAATCAACAGAGACATGCACACATTCACACTTGTTTTCTCTATGAAGAAGGGATGCTTGAAGATAAGATGCAGTAGGGTGGTGAGGGGTCCTAGTCCCTGCACATTAGGCTCACAATCACTATAATTTACCTCAGCCTTCCTCACATGCGCCCCATTGCCAGTGTGGGAGGTTAATTATCCCGTTCAGTTCCTTTTCTTCTGAGAGAGACGAATGCTGCTAGGAGAGTGTGTGTGGAGGTTCTCAGGTGCCAATGTCATTTTCTAGCGCTCTAGGATGTTTTAAACATATGCACTGTAAGCACATTTGGTATATAGTAGTCAACATTTGAAGTGGATCAAAACCTTTCATCAAAACAATACCCGTTCTTGACTTAGGACAACTTTGATGAACTTTTTTGATCCACTTCAGATGTTGACTACTGTAAATAGTTGTGGTGACCCTTGTAGCTGCAAGGAATGAAAATCAGTTTTCTTCTCTCCCATCGTTCACCCTCTTCAGACTGGAAACTAGTGGATGCACCATTCAGTATTTTTCAGGAAGTCATTCACAAGACTCCTCGCTTGTTGATTGCACACACTGATTGAGTTTCTTCAAGTCAGAAAGAATGATTCGTCAAACCATTGGATAAAACAGGAGAGACAAAGAATGACCTTAAGCCACAAAAGACACATTCTTCAAAGGTTCTTCATGGAACCATTGATGCCAATAAAAACATTATTTTTAAGAGTGCACCATAAGCTTCAAGCATGTTAAACAATAGCATATGCTTCTGCTGAGGCTGGGTGATTTCAAATGAATTGTAGAATATAACTGACATCACTTCATAAGCCAACCTGAAAGGCTAATTTGCAACTTTTTACAATAGTAGTTTTTGATTTATGAGTAAAATAAAGTCTATGGTTAATAATACTTTCACACAAGTTACATTGGGACTAAATTCACAAAATTCTGCTTTGAGGTAAACTACTTTTAAAAACTGTGGGGTCAGTAAGAAATTAAGAAATTTTAAAAAGAAATGAATGCTTATATTCAGCAAGGACCCATTAAACTGATGAAAAGTGACAGTACAGACATTTATAATGTTACAAAGGATTTCTATTTCAAACAAATGCTGTTAATTTAACTTTATATTAATCAAAGAATACTGAAAAAATGTATCACCTTCTCCACAAAAATATTAAGCAGCACAACTGTTTTCAACATTGCTAATAATAAAAAATGTTTCTTTAAGCAGCAAATCAGCATATTAGAATGATTTCTGAAGGATCATGTGACACTGAAGACTGGAGTAATGATGCTGAAAATTCAGCTTTGCTATCACAGGAATAAATTACATGTATTTAAATGTATTAAAATAAAAAACAGTTTTTTATTTTAATAATATTTTACGATATTACTGTTTTACTGTATTTTGATTAAATAAGCCAGTAGCATATGACTGTGTATATTTTCTTGAGGGAATCCATGGCTCGAAAATGTTAATGAAAACAGGAATCAAGGAAATGTGAGTTTTTTTAAGCTAGTGGAAACTATATGATAGTCTTATTTTTTATTGTCTTATTTTTTGAAATGCATATGGAGAAAATCAAACACAGTGTACATACAGCACCTCTCTAACATTAAACATGCACGCTGTGTTTGGTC